GGGGCGTGGGGCGGGCGGCGGGGAGGGCTGCACGTCGGGCGGGACACTGCGGCCCTGGGGAGGAGTGCTCCGTACACAGGAGGTGCAAATCTCGCCCGAAGCGCGCTGGCCTCTCGTTCGCTCCAACGCAGACCCGTCCCGCTCGCAGCCGAGCGCGGGGAGGAGCCGCCGGGCGCATCCGTAATCCGTGAACGGCGCGGGAGGGGAGGGACAGTGGATGCCGCATGGGCGACGGCGTGGAAGGTGGGGCGGGGAAGGGTGCTTCACGGGAACACTCAGGCTATTAGCCAAGTCAGTCACCGTAACAAACAGTATAATAAATTTACTGGTAGGTTCTAAGCAACCAGAGTTCCAGCAAAAGATAACCGTTCTATGATGGATACATGGATACCTTTGTTCGTTTTTAGTATTGTATCTTTTTTCGTTAGTGTATCTAATTATGAATAATTCAATGTTTAGATCACAGAAATTATTATTTCAATCAAAACTACTCCTAATATTAGTCTTAAAGAAATGAGTGATTCCTAAGGTACTAGCAGTTATCGAAGTGTCGGTATCTACAAATATTTTAGTTTCAAGAATATTTTTGAAAACTTATGTTAACGTTATAGTTCATAAAAGTATGCGAGCATTAGGTTTCAACATTGGCACATTGATTTGTTAAGTGTTCATTCCAGCATTTACATACTATTTTGCATCTTTATTTCTAGCGTATTTTATAAGTCACTGTTGTTTCATAAATCAAATAATTGCAATTTTTGCAATAATTGTAAATGCAAAATTTAAGCATTATAAGTAAATAGTCACATGCTATTTGTAACCTTATCTGATCGGAAATTTAGATATGATGCAAAAATAAATATTTTTAGGAGATTATGAGAGCAAAATATTACAAACCAGTATTTAATATTTAAGAGTGCTTTTAGATCAGAAGCTCAGCACTTTCGTAATCCCAGAAGACTGAAAGAGTCTCTGAATACTGTTGAGGGATTCGTTATGAAAACAGTAGTAAATGGGAACGCGCCTCCGCACAAAATAATAATTTACCTTCATTCGCTTCGAATTTTGATGTTTTGTGCATGAATTCGTACAAGGCAAATTTCTAACAAATTCGATTGATTTGAAAGTGAAAGCAAGATATGTAGCCTGACAATCGGGTTCCTCTTTCCATATCTTCGTCATGCATACATACGCCATAGTATACGTATTGGCGCGCGTCAGAAATAAGGCATCCTCGTGTGAAATACTCCGCATGGCAATAAATTATGCCGGGCCCCATAATGACTTCCCTCCAAGCGCAAATGACGCACATCGTTGTCATCAGCCTGTTTCTGCCGAACTTTTTAAGTCCCGCAACTTATCTATCTATTGAAATGTTGCACGTATAAATGAACCTTTTCATCTTAATGTTTCACGAACATAAAAAAAGAGCTAACGACATTAAAAATGTTTTACCCGAAAAGGAATGCACATGCTACTTACTCGTTAAGAGGCGACGCAGCGTCGCGCAGCCCGGAAGTGACAGGGCTACCTTGCTTCCTTCATGCACCTGCAAAGAAGAAAGTATATGTCAGTACAACGATCTCACAACTCTTTCAAACGATCGACCGAACTATACTTGCGCAATTGAGTTCATGAATTTGTAGTAAATTACACATAAACGTACAGTAACACATGGGTGCTAAAAGTAAATAAAAACATTAGCATTATCTAGAATAGATTTGTAGAAGTAACAAGAAGATATGGATCTATGTTCATCAAGAGCTTGATCATGAGAAAACATTAGCATATCTTTTTGTAAAATTTTCAAGTAACAGCTGATGGAATAGTCATGTACTGGTAGCCCAAAGCAAAGGAAGAATTTTATTCAAAGGAATTGTTAGGGCAAGTTCCTTATTTGCCTTTACAAGTTTGTGACACACTAAAATAGGTTGTGATTCCGTCTAGAATTAGGGGTCGGAAATGTGTGGGGTGTATAGGTAAAATCAGACTTCTCTTCTTAAAGATGTTGATTCATCAACGGGTCAAAATGAAATAACTTTTGGAATATTTTTACATCTTCAGAAGGCTTTTGACGTCATTGGCTCTTACATTTTGCATTCAAAATGACCTTCATATGGAATTCGTGGTGTTGCCCTAAATTTGATATTCTTCTATTTTAAACGCCGATTGAAAAGCGAAGATATACCATACTGGAAGAAAGAAAATGATTTGCTCATCTTTCAAATTTTTTGCAATTCAATTCAAATATGACGTGTCGCAGATTTCGATTTTTGTCTTTAAGCTCTGATACGTAAATGATAATATGCTCTCGTTCATTAGAGACAGAAGAACCCTTGTTTAATGATGGCACATCCTTGCTAGAAAGAAACAATAAATAGTACGCTTTCAGATTTTCAAATTGGTTTCGTAATAACAAATCAATAGTACACGAAGGAAAAATAGTTTCAATACAATGTTGCACTGAAAAGGTCACCTGATGACGTAACCATACTGTGTCGCGAAACATTGTCTTTTAGTAAATGTATGCCAATAAAATAATTCTGTTAAAGATAATTCTTTTGGCATTCGTTACGATTAGAGGATACCAATGTCATAAAAATGATATACAATATATTACTTAATATTTGTATAATTTTAAAAGACTAATAATACCAGTAACAAGTTATATACTTCCGATTTTTGCTCAATGACCCCATTTCGATCAGGTTGTTTGTCCGATTGCCCTGATTCCTTGAAAAAATGCTGAGATGCCCTTGTTTTTTTTCTTTTGGACATAAATGTATCTTTACTGTGCGCATGTTTCATTGACTTCGGTTGCTAGTTGTGGTGGAAGTTGAACCGGAGGTGTTGGTTGCTATTTTGTTGGCGGTAAAATAAAGTAAACTCTGTAGTTCATTTAGCAATGCAAATAAGTTTACTACAAATCAGGAGCGGTAATTTCAAGTTTCAAATGTTTCTAACCTCGCTTTATTCGTATTTTTATTCATCATTCAACTAAAAAAACTAAACTGAAAAGGATGGGGAAGAGATAGTAGAGCACAAGAAAATGGTTGCAGAGTATACTTTCCACCAATACATACAGTTTTATTTCTTGTTTTTTTCGCAAAAATAAACCATAAATCGGCTTGAAGGCATCGAAACAGATTACAATACAAATTAACATTGGGATATCACAATCCGTAGAAAATGTCGTCGTGCTAAAAGATATCGGCAGTGAAGGTATATGGAAAAAAATTAAAATAAAATATATTCATTTATGAATTATATTACTTCGAGAGCCTCGAAGCCCCTTCAAAGAACTTGCAAGACATGCATTTTAGGGCCTGTCATCTAAAAAGACTCAACAAGAGACGGTCATTGGTCTATAGCACTCTGTGCAGATCAGATGATTTCACAATAGTGTCAAATCTAATACTAAGGAACTCAGATAATACGTATTTTAAACGCAAATGACTGCTTTCATAAATAAATGCAAAATGCTACAGAACAAATTTAGAATGCCTATCACATTTATGCACGTGATTTCTGAAAGGAGCCACCGCCCCTCCATCGCAACTTTCAAAATTCTCGAATATAATGAAGCTACAGTATGCAAAACCAATTGTACTGCACACATAGAATAAGAGTCCATAAGTATTTATACACATACACGTTAAATCGTCGTTAAAGTAATTAGCGCACATGTTTATTTCCTACAGACAACTTCTTCCTCCGAGAATCCTTCACACCCATCTTGGCTGAGCGGTCTGGTGTGGGCACTGCGTCCCCGGCGTCCCTCTGCCGGAGCACTCAAGCGCGCCGCCGCACCTCGCTACCTGAGCTGTTTACCGGCTCCATTTCCGCCGGCTAAGTCCCCTTCCCAGTGGCGCGCTACCCCGCGCTCCTACCACTTTTCCGTGGGCAGAGAAGCACGGAGAGAGGGGAGAGAGGGGAGAGAGGGGTGAGAGAGGAAGAGAAGTAATGAAGACTCTGGAGATGCTCCGCGTCCCTACGCGTCCCAATTCTTTGCACAAAATGAAAGATACAATTGCACGAAAGTAAAACTTCAATTGTGTATCATATATTAAATAATAATAATAATAATAATTATTATTATTATAAAGGACTTAGTAGTGGAAATAAACTGCATAAATTGTGTATAACGCTTAGGAATGAAGATACGAGTATTTTTCACAAACAAACAAGGGACATTCTCAGTTTCTGGATCACTACGAAACTGATAGAAAACTGATCAAAGCAAAAGATGCTTACCTAACCAAACGCGTTTCAAATGCAAACTGTCAGTGACAAACTTGTATATGCCTTCATTTACATATGCCTCCTTCCAAGTATTAGCGGTTACTCCTGACGCTTCTCCGGGAAGGTTCTTCAGAGCATACATATGCCTCTGGGTTGCATATGGTCTCCTCAGCTATAAGGTCAGTATGCGAGTTATTCCGCCAGTATCAACACTTAAAGAACGATTTCTCTAAAATGCCGTGAATTTAATAGTCTTTGCTCGCATCATTCGTTTATAGTCAATGAAAGCCTTAATGCCAGCTGAAAATATATAACCTAGTCGTACTTTCTAGAATAGCAGTAAAAACCGAGTGTCACAATCCTCTGAGAGAAAATTGTTTCAATATTGATAAGTGTAGCATACCATTCTCTCCTTCCTCTCATCTCCTGGCAACTGATCTTCAAAACAGAACTTCGTCGTTCTATGCTTCTTTTCACCAGCGCCGGGTTGGCAAAGGATCGGGTCGTGCATATCCAAGATTTACTTAACCAATGGACGTGTGGTTAAATAAAAACACTTAACATTTCCTGTATTAATGTTTATTCTCCTTTACTATATTCTGTGGAACTACTCTACTGAAACTAACTCTGCCAGCTCTAATTAAGATGAGAGGAACGCTACTCGCCACGCCAATTAATACGTTCCCGCAGCTGGCATCAGTTCTTAGTCAAGTCCTCTCCTCTTTCTCCCCTGGGCCACCCGTCGCCCCCCCCCCCGCTCGTGTGGCTGAGTCGCGAACAGTCGGCTAGAGCGGGGCGGCTCCCCGGATGTGGGTGGGCGGGAGGAAGATGGCACCGACTTTCTTTGCTGAGTCTATCTCCCGGCATATGGGCGGGGAGGGAGAGTCCATCTCTTCATTGGGAGGCCGATTTAGAGTTCGTCAACGAAATGAGGGCAACTTTAATATGCTGATTGACTGTTTATTTCATGTTTCCGGGTTTGTCAACTGCTATAGCTATTGCAAGTTTATATCACGGGAAGTGGCGGTGTTCTTGCCCTGCTGGATGGTGAGGTCCGGAGCCGACCTGTATGTCGGCGTGCGGGATTTTCTCCATCCAGGTATCTCCCATCAGCGAAGCACCGCCCCAAACGGTACAAGTTTCAAGCTCCAGACTGGTCTCTCGACATTTGTGATAGTGTAGTGCATGTACGTGTGTGTGTGTGTATGTGTTGGGATGAACAAAGAAATATCGCGCGCGGTCCTTGGCCCATTTGTTAGGGTACTTCTCTGAAATTCGCCTCGTGATGATCGGAGAAAGCACGGAAAACTGCCGAACGGAGCAGCCGTCCGCTAGAATTCTTCTGTTTATGTAAAACGTGAAAAAAACCGCCGGCAACATTTAATCATCTCAAGACTCTTACCCTGTTGAGATCATATTTTCATGAAATAATATCATAACTTTCCATCGAAAATACTCTTTTGAACTCAGACTCAAAATGTTTTCAGCGGCTTCTGGGGGGAAATTTAGGAATCAAAATACAGCTTGAGCATATAGCGTTCAAGTCCCATCTAAATCCTTCTGAGTTCGCTCAGGTAGGAATTTGATCCATCGTCACTATATGTGGGAGAGGAGTGAGAAGGGGGAAACTCAGCAAACTTCCTGGTAAGCTTCTTTTAAACCTCACAACTTTCCTCTCCTTCCCATATTAAACGTTTGTAAGGATGCGAAATTCCATCCTTACTCCATCCAGTGCTCCGTATTAAGGATCAGCGCACTCTCGAGGAAGTATGTCAATAACTGTATTGATTATAGATGTTGACCAATCAGACAAGAGACATTCTCAAAAAGTTTCAGGTTGAATAATGGATAAAAGTTCTTATATTATACGTGAAGAAGGAAATATAAGTTGGAGAGGTAAGTCTTCTATAAAACTATGAGTACTTAGACATACAAGAATAAAACCAATGGCATTTTGTGCCAGTTGCATCATATTTAGCTACATCAAAACATTTTTGCAATTTCAAAGAATTTAGTTGTATTATTGGTTTCAATTGTATAATTACTATTGTTACACATAGTAGCATTACAATTTTCTGGCATTTTTTATTTTTTTATATTTTTTACTGCAGTATGAAGAGAATACACAGCACTCAGCCATCTCAGCCTTACGGCTTTTCAGTTGTGAGCATTTTCAGACGAAAAAGATGCGAAGGGTTAGCTAAGGTGACCTCCCTTCAAACATAAGAATGAAGCAGTGCGACTATTAAAGTGGGGGAAAGTCATATTGTTGACTGTTGATGGGAGGAGTATTTATTTGATTATCTC